TTCCCATGAGGATGAGATGCAACCCCAGCCACCTGAGGTCTGCAAATTTATGGACGATCTTTTATGTGCCACCGTGCTGGGCACGTTGGATAACATGTTTGAGTCACACCTTCCAGTCACCTTAGGCCCATTTTACAGATGAGGACACTGACACCAAGAGACAAATAGTCTTCTCAGGGCTACACAGCTGCTGGTGACAGGGCCTAGGTGGCAAGTCCAGGAATGTCTGCCTCCTACACACATACTCATCTCACTGAGCTTTGCTACTCCTAGGAAGCCTTTGTCTCAATCATGAGTCACAAAGGCTGCTGCTCTGGTTTAGAAACCCCCCGGATCACTTTGTGTAAGTCTACAGCAGTGCTCAGAGAATCCCCCCGTGGTGGCAACTGGCCATCCCGTATCTGCTGGGAAATGCAGGTGAGGCCACATCTTGCCCTGGCTTTGGGAAAGGCCACAAATTCTTCACAGGAGCCGTGAAATGTCAAAGAGAACGTTTGGTCCCCTCTGGTAATTGCAACAAAAACCCCAGTGGCTTCCACACGTGGGAAAACCCCTTATCTTTTCTGACCCTTAAAACAGTCCATCATTCACCTACTTGGTAGATGTCCTCTTCAGAATTTTTTTGCCCCTGACAACGTAGGTTGACCAGGGTGATGATGTTTATTTCTCTAAAATCTGTCCCGACACCACCACCTCCATCAGATGCTACTTCCTATGGGCACTAAAACATACAGCGGGGGTTTCACATGTGACAGGTTGGCCATCAGTCACTGAGGCCACCCACATACAAGGTGGACAGTAGACACTTTTCCATTAGAAAACAGATAGAAGGTCCCTCCCTGACCACCACGCTCCAAACTCACCTTTTCCCTCTGCTCACTAAGTAGCCACAATTGGCCACCATCCCCCGCTGCACCTCCTGCCGGCTGCAGGCTGCACTGGGGGTGGTGAGAGTGGGAAGGACTGTGCAAACCACAAGGGCACGTCACTCACGCATTTCCCCCACGGGCCGTCTGTCCCCTCTGAGTCCAGTGGACTACTGTGACATTTCTCAAGGTTTGTGACCAGATGATAGCGCAGCCGTGGGTGAGTAAGGTACAGTCATCATCTCCCAGAGGGCGACTTAAAGATCTTCTTTAATGCGCTGGAAAAATTATCAGAGCAGCAGCCTTTCAGACTCAGAGGAAAACAGCAGGGTTTAGATCTCAGATGGAGAGTTCACTTGTTCTTTCACTCGCTCGTCTGACAACTTATTTCAGGTGCTGTTGTGGGTCAGGTTTCCTGGGAAACAGATGCTCAGATGGAGATTCATGTGCTGGAGTTTATAGCAGGGCTCTCGGGACAACACTTGTGAAGGAAGCAAGATGGGGTGGACAGAGAAGCTGAGCTGGGTTGCTGCCACAACAGAGGCGTCAGCTAACCCTGATCCTGAGGGGAGCTCTGGAGTGGGACTGTCACCCTTCAGAGTTCAGTGGACCTGGAGGCAAGGGCACAGGACCTCTAAACCCCTCTTGGGGGCCCCATGGAGGAGGTGGGGCTTGGATTAAACAGTTCTCCCCACCAAGGACAATTCTCAGCTGAGAGGGACCCAGCTAGACACGGCCCATCCTCCCAGCCTCTGGGAGATGGAGGGAGAATCTGGGTAGCACACCTGAGTGTACACCCCTGGTGCCAACTAAGGACCAGCACTTAGGTAACCTTATACTTTTTCTCTGAAAGATGAGATTATCACGCAAAGCAGATGTGGGAACGTACAAGGTTCCCCTTAAAGTTTCACGACAACTAATTCAATTTAATTAATAATTATTTAACACTAGCCTATGGTAAGCAGCCCAGAAGTCCATCTACAGGTGCACGGGTAAACAAACTACGGTAAATTCGCAGCGTGAACTACTACCCAGACAGAGAAAGCGGTGAACTCCTGGCACGTGGCGCAGCGTAGATGAACCTCAAAAGGATCCTGCCGAGCGCAAGAGCAGTGCCACAAAGCACATCAGTGGTCGCCTGAAAGGGGGAGGTGGCGCAGCGGGGCGGGAGAGGATTACAACAGGCAGGGGGAGACTTTTGGGGGCGATGGATATATTCCCTATCTTGTGCGTGACGGTGACTTCATGGGTGTGCACAACACACCAACCTTTATCAAACCGTACATTTTAAATATGTACAATTCGTTATGTCAATTATATCTCAAGAAAGCTATTTAAAAAAATAACTATTCCAGGGGGGAGGGTATAGCTCAGGCAGTAGAGTGCTTGCTTAGCATACACAAGGTCCTGGGTTCAATCCCCAGTACCTCCTCTAAAAATAAATAAATAAGTAAACCTAATTACCTCCCCCAACAAAATATTTTAAATGTTAAAAAAAAAATTTTTTTTAACTATTTTATGGAAGGATCTGTGCCGGGTCTCAGGAACATTAAAGTATATTTAAAAAAACAAGCTCTTCTTTTGGGAGGCTCAAAGACCAGCAAGGAGACAAGTGGATACTCAACTAAATATAACAGAAATCAGAGTAAAAGCTAGTAAGATAAAAAGATGGAAATGATCATGGGGGCAAAGAACAGTGGAGAAATGACTTTTTTTTTCTAGGAGGATGGAGGACAGTAACAAGTAACTTTTACATTATTTACTACATGTCCTGTAACTCTCACACCAGCTATATGAGTTGGTGCTGTCATTATACCCATTTCGCAGGTGAGAAAACCAGGGCTTTGATTCCAGGGAGACTGGTCCCAGAGTCCACATTCTTAACCATTAGTTACTATTCCTCTGAGAAGCGCTGAACTGACCCAGGCCCCAGAGGACAAGCAGAATTTCCCCAGAAAGAGAAGGCCATTTCAGGCAGAGAGGGTAGTGTGAACTACAACCCAGTGTGACCTATGGCTATAAAATCATACTGTGTACTTGAAATAGGACAAGAACTTTTATGGTACATCTTGGGGACCAGTGGGAAAGGCTGCTAGACCACAGGCTGGGGGCCAAGGTGTGAATGGCCTTGAATGTCCTGCTAAAGAGTTTGTACTATAGGTTTTCAGGCAAAAGGGAACTACTAAAAGTTTTTGAGCGGAAGAATAACATACCAGATTTGTGTTTTGAATGAGAAAGAGGAAACATACCTGTCGACGGGGACATGAACCCATTCTCAAACAAAAGACCATTTGCTTCACTGATATTGCACTAAAACCACATTAAATCAGTAGCTTTAGGACAGACTACACTGTAAATTTAAGTTTCAATCTCAGAATATTTTATTCTCTGGTCACCCAAGTCTTGTGTTCATTCTGTTACTTCTGTTTCTCCATATTTTTACCAAACAGAAACTTACAGAAAACCACAATTAGAAAAGGGAGAAGCAACGTGGCCCTTCTCCAAGCCCTGAGTTTAGTTCTGAATGGGTCCAGGATTTTTTCCCCCCACTGGTTTAGAATGACAGCTCCCATGATGACACTTTGACTTTTCTTTCTTGTAAAAGTGACTTTTTTTTTTTATGCCTGCATAGATTTGAGTTAGATGCCAAGCTCAAGGTCAGGAAGATCAGCCAATAATAGTAAGTCCAGACATGTTTCTGGCTTCATGATCGCGCATCTGACACTACAGTGTCAAGAGGAAAATACAGCCTTTTCCTCCTGTGCTTTGAGAGGAAGCATTAGAAAATTCTCTAAGGAATAGCATTCTTCTAGGTAAAAATGTGAGGAGATTCTATAAGGAATAGCATTCTGGGTGAAAACGCGAGAAGCTATTAACTAGCCATGGGCAATTCACACTTTCCAAGGGAGGCCAAAGACCCCTTATATGCACTTTCCTTGGGCTTTCTTAAGGGGGTACAGTCACTCTAAAACAAAGGCAAGGCACTCGCAGGAAAATCAAACGCTCAGACAGTCAGGGAGCCTGAAATACAAAACCTGGAAGTCCCTGGAGGCAACTTACTGAAGAAAGAGAGAGATCAGACCAAATGCTCGGAAGTCTTGGTTTGTTTTCTCAGTTCAGCCACTGACTCACTGTGTCCCCTCAGCCAAACTCCTCAATTCTGTATTTTGAAAAACAGTGCAGTGCAACCTGCTGATTCCTTGCTTCCGTAAGCAAGTCCATACATTTCACTATATTCAAACCACACCAGCTGGTAGCAAAGACAGGCACAACTTTGGTTTCAATTCCAGAAAACTCTTACCATCCTGTCTCTCAAGCTTGCCTTCTGATACCTGGAGACCTTGTTAAACACACAGGTAGCACCTGATTCTCTAGTAGTGAGATTCTCATTTAATTAATCTGGGGTGGACTTTTCCAACCTGCAGGGTTTAGCTGGGGGCCCAAGGTATTTATAGCCTCATACGATTTGAGAAACAGTACATTATATCCCACTAAACTCTACAAGAAAAGTCAATTTTCTCCCCTCTTTTCATTCTCTTTCTGCCTGTTAAAATAGGCAAAATATCTGAAAGACATTTTTGATGGATATAATTTTCCCTACCCAAACTATTGACACATTTACAGAATATTAACATGAATTTCGATTAGAACAAGTAAATATTAGTTTCAAACACTGCAGACTAACCTCTATTTCCTAAACATAAGTCTATTTGTATTTTGCTGTGTGTCCCTGGAAAAAAGAAATAAAGTCTATCTCACCTTGTCCAATAAATGAGAATAAAATACCAAAATTGTTTATTTGCATATTGTCACCCCCACTAGATCATATTCTCCTTAAAAGCAAGGATTGATCTTTCATATCTGATCATATCTTAGAGCAGTGCACACCGGATGGCTGGATGGCTAACGAGATGGATGAGTGGATGGATATATAGATTTCTTAAATGAGCAAATATGTGAACTAGGGAATTCTGCCCCTTGATAACCACTAGAAATTGTTGCCAAAGTTAGAAATAAAAAATATCGACAAGGGTCCAGGAAAAATTGTCTAATATTAATTGTTTAATAAACCAGAAAAGTGAAAATCAGATGACATCACTACACAGGAACATGGTTAATATCCCTCCCACCCCTCCTCCCCGAAAAAGCCTTGCCACGAGTTAACTTACCAGCTCTACCCACGCGTGGTAGAAAGATCTGTGCCACCAACACATCACTCACCCCTCTCCACAATCGAGGTGACACATGTGGCCCCCTAAATGTTCCACTGGGAGGTGTTCTGGGGGCAGCTAACTAAGAGGGGGCTTTCAGAGCCAATGCAGGAGGTGAGACACATGAGGTCACAGAGCCACTGCCTCCCCCTTTCAAAAGAAACCACTCTGCTCTATTTATTTCAGAATCCGGAGGAAGTTGACGAAGGGTGACAGCAGCGCAGCACAACATGTGGTGGCGAGTCTGCAGCCTGCTGGCTTGGTTCCCCTTACAAGGTAAGGACTTAGAGCTAATGTTTTTTGATGTTCAGTTGACCTAATAGTTTGGCACATCTGCCCATCAGTCAGTCCAACTGCTCTCACGGAGGACTGACCGCGGGAGCAACTCAGGTAACTCTGTCACTTTCCCTGCCATGCTGAAATCACACGTCTGAGGGATGCAACTGGATTTATTTAATCTCTTGTTCAATTGCTAAAGAGTGTAAAAAGGACCGGTGTAGTGTGTGTCTCTGTGGGATCTGTGTTATGGCAAAATACAACAAGCTTATTGGCTCCATCTTTTAAGGGGATACCAGCTGAAACAGCGTCAGTTTGGGATTTTAAAAGCGTCCTTGCTGTATAAGCCTTAGCCAAATAATTTAATTTCTCTGAAATAGTTTCCATGTCTTGAAATGAAGAGGATAACAATGTCTGATCTGCCAAACTCTCTGGATTGTTATAAGGATCAAATGTCAAATGTGAAAGTACTTTGAAAATGGCAAAGTGTTACAAACCCTTAATTAGTTCAGAGATAATAACAACCCCAGTGAAAAGTTTGTGCTTATTTTTTTGAGTCAGTTGTACTTTCCACTTCATTATAATTTTCACATTTGATTTTTGATGCTTAATTCTATTTTAGCATTATGATCATTAAAGAAAGACACAGTTATCTTTTTAGCGCAGGTCAAACTATTCCTGCTCAAAAGTGGGGGCAGGATGTGTTGTCTCTGACTCTCTGATTGCAACTTGTATCACATTTGCAAAGGAAATTGCACATGTACTGTGTTGCTTACCTGTGGGATGTCTGTTTCTAAATATTGAATCTATAGTTATGTCCCAGGTAAAACACCTGTCCTTCTAAATCTTCATTCACCATAGAACTGCATCTGAAGAATAGGACTTTTAAAAACTAGATTTCCTATTTTACATAGTACTTCAATTTCCTATTTTATGTACTTCAACCAGTGCCTTCTTTTTTTGGTCTCTGTACCCTGAGGCACTTAATAAAGATTCAATTTTGGTAATAACTAATAGTTTCTTTATTAAGTGACTAGAAGAATAGCTACTACATTCCAAAAAAGTACATGTAGATGGCTAAAATTAGAATTGGCTTTCAATTATCCCAAGGTTTAAAGCTTTTAACTGACCTTCACTTTTTCAGGATTCGAGTTATTCCCTCATAAAAATCTCTCACAAAAAATAACATTTTATATAAATTTGCAATAATCCTGTCTTAAGGTAAACCCAAGTCTTTTAGGATATAAATTAGTCAAATACTATTTCTAAAGGAGAGAAATATACTTATTGCGTCATGCACAGTGCTGGGTACCTTATGTTAATTTCACTTATCCTGGCAAAGAAACTGAGGGAGGTACTCATAGCCCTAATTTACATGAGAAAATTGAGGTCACAGGAAGTTAGATAAAGCGCTCAAGTTTTCATGGCTACTAAGTGACAACAGAAGCATGCGTCTGCAGAGCACATAGTGAAAGTATTATCTCATGAAATGTTCCATTGAGAGCGTGTGTGAGTATTGGGTTGTAATAGAAAATGTGGATCAAAAGTTTGAAAGCCATTGGTTGACACAATCTGGAAGATTTATTATGGAAAAATCCCAAATTGAAAACTCGTGCAGGGGGGAGGGTAGAACTCAGTGGGAGAGTGCATGCCTAGCATGCACGAGGTCCTGGGTTCAATCCCCGGTACCTCCACTAAAAAAATAGAATAAAATGAATAAACCTAATTACCTCCCCCTCACCAAAAAAAAGAAAGAAAAGAAAAAAGAAAGAAAGAAAACTCATGCAGAGGGCCACCCAGAGAGCTCAAGGGTATTTGAGTACCAACGGCTCACTCTCCCACATCAGAGTCCCCAACAGGAAAGGAGCTGACCTTGTTGCTTTCTTATCAGCAAAAAGGCAGCAAAATCATCAGTTTGGGCAACACTATAAATTGTCAGCTATTTTTAGCTAACTGAATTATGGGAGGATCACTGCACTTTCTCTGACTGCACAGAATGAGTACCAAAATCTTATCAAAAAAATTTTTTTAAGTCCCATAATCTTGGAGACTGCGCTCTCTTCAAGGCTCCCAATGACAGCTCCTAGGGTGGGTAAAACACCATAAGAATGAAGACTTTTTCAAAATTTATCCCGTTTTATATTATGGATGATGAAAATCCACCAGTTTGCACCGTCTGTTCTGGTTGTTTAGTGGAGAGAAGGGTCCAGGGAATGCAAAGAACAGTTACAGACTGAGTAGGGGCTTCTCGATACCTCTTTTGACCAGGAAAGAGTCATCCATCCATCTGTTCAAATGTCGCTGAGACAGGTTCTTTAAAGCTGGAAGTCACTCGATTTTGACAACGTCTGATTCATTTTCACACTTGTAACATTCTCTATTGAGTCTGTCTAAAGAATAGTAATAACGCCTTTTCGTAATGATCTGAATTGATGCGCACTTGGCCCGCTACCTTATCATCGTCATGCAAATAAGGCTCTGGTTGGAGAATTAACTCCTTGTGTGCCTCTGGTTTTAACTTATCACACAGCATAACAGAGTTAGCACCTATTACAGTATTTATTACGAATATATACATTCATTCACTAGCCATTAATTCAACTAATACCTAAAAATCTGACTTTGGGCTAGGCCCTGGGAATGACTAGCAAACAGCTTTTTTATGAGGAGTTTGTGATCTACCCACAGAGACACACTCTTAACCAAAACGGTAATGTGCTAAGCGCCACAGTAGAAATCTATTCAAAGCCTTTGGGGATCTAGAGGAGAGAGGAAGTCACTGAGAGGAGGAGGGAGGCCGAAGGCCAGCTGGGCAGGTTTGACATAAAGGGTGTAATTTGAGTTGAGTCTTGAAGGAGGTAAGAAAGGTGTTCCAGCTAAGAACGGTGTGGACAAAGGCCAAGTGTTTTCTTGAGACCAGACCTTTGGAAACAGCAAGTGGCCACTTGCACAGAGTGTCTGGAGGGTGGTATCAGCAAAGGACCCTGGAGAAGATAGGAGTTACCTGGAATTTTGGCCGGATTCTTACAGGCAAAGGGAGCCATAGCAAAAAAATCCTAATGAAGGAATCAAATGATCAAATTTATATTTTTTAAATATAGTTCTGAAGCAGATGAGGATGATAAATCAGAGGGGGCAGAGTCTACAAGGAGGTTACTATAATCAGCCAAGAAGGAAACAGTGGCAGCCTCAACTGAGACGGTGTTAGTAGAGAAAAAAAAAAAAAAAGAAGTTGATTAAAGAGATGTTCTGGAGAGAGAAGAGGTTAGGATGCCTCTCAGACACCTGGCATGCAGTGGCTTGTGATGGCACTGATGACTACAAAGGAGACGCCGGACAGAGCAGGCGGCGTGTGTGTTGGGTGCGTGTGGAGCATGGCGAGCTGCAGAGATGATGAGTTCCAGCGGGACACAGCGCATTCAGGGTCCCTGCAGGACAGACGTGCTCTGTTCTGGAGTTTTAAAATGTATTGCATGTGATAACTGGGCAATAACTAAGGGAAGAAAAAGAAAGAATATTTCATTCTTTCTTCAGTCTGCCATGATGACCTACAGCAAGTAAGGTGGAGATCACACACTGCACCTCCCAAACCTTGGGAAGAAGCCAGGACTCTTACAAACTGCACAGGTTTCATCAACGGGTGCTTTGGGGGGGGGGTGGCTGCATGCCCTTTTGCTTGAGGGTCAGTCACGTGTGCTTTGGCGTGAAGCCATTCCCCTCATAGAACGACTGGCTCATGGGGTGGGGGTGGAGATGATGGTGAAGGTCACAGGTTCCATTTCCACATGTAATCCGGTCATAACTGGCGACCTCATAACACATGGCTCTGCATGGATGGATGAATCCGGTCATGGAGATAACGACCAAGCTCAGAAGTCAATAATCCACTCGGTAAACACGACCTACCAGAAGCAAGTGGTAACCTCCCAGAAGAGACGCCAGTCACGCATCGTCAAGCTCTGTACGCTCAGCATTTGGGAGTCACCATGGGGATCATCTGCGCACAGGAACTCCGAAGCCCAGACAGGTAGAACTGGCAAGCAAGCACAGGGCACTCGGTGTCTACACTAGACAAGGCTAAGGCTGAATAAAAATGTATACGTCTTTACAGCCTGCAAGGGAGGAAGTGGTGAGCAAAGCAGATACCCCACACCCCAACCCTCTGACAAAGAAGGTGAAAGTCTGACTCTAAACTAAGGTGGAAAAAGATTCTAAAGACGCGTTCCACTTTAGTTTTCAATGGCAATGACAGGATCATGGGAAACTTTTTTTTTGAAGATGTACCATCAAAACTTAGGTACCACTGTCCTCCTCTTCTACCTTTTAACATGATTTAGACACTAGACGATATTTTCAAGCGCGACAGCTAAAGCAATGTGGGTCAGTGGCTTCTCACTGGGTTTTTCTTCCTTTCTACAATGATTTCCTGTCTCTGAATCAAATATGGGGTCTACATGATGGTGCTGCAAGATAAATAGTCTTATAAAGCCAAAAGCAGGACTCAGAGCTAAGAGGAGAGGAAAGAAGTCACATTCCATGCTTCAGACGCAGCCCTTTCTGTCTGAAACCCAGGCACCTTTACCTTGTGCTCAGCAGCCTGATAACTGAATTCTCAGCAGCAAGGGCAAACCCTAATCTTGGCAGATAAAATTCTTTAGCATGTGCTAAAGAGCCATACTACATTTTATTACCATTTTTAAGACACTATAAGAATTAAATGACATCATTTAATTCATAAGCACGCATCTCAGGAAAAAGACAATGATATATACATCCTTAAAATGGGAGATATTTATTCACAAACAGGCTACAGATAAATCTCACCATTCCCTTCTCCCTGAATGTAGGCTTCCCATCTAGACAATCATTTTACCAAAGGTAGAACATTTCTCAAACTTGTGTCAATTTCTGGCCCAAAGGATGAAATCAGGGCACATTGCTCAACACCAGTTTTTTTTCTACCATTGATTTGTGTAGTAACTTCCCTCCTGTCTCTCAGTATTCTTATTAACAACAGGAGAGCAAAGATACCTATCCATTGCCTACATTATAATGTCGTCATGAAAGCTGACATCAAACTGTGACTTTCTAAACTCACACTATGATAGTTTCTATAAGGAATGAATTTTTGAGAACTATTTGCAAGAAGCAAGATGACGCACAAGAACTAGAGAGTGAAGCCAGAAGCATAATGGAACAATGCGATGCAAGCTAGACAGTTCTAGACTCATCAGATTCCTGGCTCAAAAGTCCCTTAACCTTAGGAGAAATTCCATTGCCATTTCAAAGCATCTCTACGAATATTATCCTTATTATTCAATTATGGGTTGATTTTATAGATGAGAATATTTCCAAATGACCTGCCTAAGCAGAATTCTGGCCTATGCCTCAATGCTTTCCTGAAAACAATCTCTGTTTATTGACTCCTCATTGTTCATTACAGTATTGGCTGGTGATATCAGTATTTTTCCACTAGGACCCAAGCAAACTCTTTTCCCATGAAAGTCACTATGAATACAATACAATAATCTGGGTTATTATTGCCGGAGGCTAGATTGAAATTAATGACCTAGGAATGGAACAAACTAAAAAGTCTGCACCAGTTAATTCCCAGGGCTCTCCAAAGCACTTTTCCTAATACAGAAATTTATCACAGGGAAATAAACTCCCTTCTTGTTCCTCTTTTTTTTTTTAAGGTTTAAGATGATGCAGTAAAACTCATTGTATTTGCTATTCATTATTTATAACCCCACGGTATTCTTCTGTTTATGAAAATGTTTTGTACTCTCATTGATAAGAATTGTCTGGTCCTCAGAAAATTTTTTTTTAAATTTAGAACTTAAAGAAACAACAAATAACAATAAATGTGCCAAATCGGCAATAAAGCCAATTTATTTTTCTATCAATTTCTTTTTGGGGCGGATAACTTTGCAGCTGCTTCGAATCAATTGTTTATCATTCTCTAGGGGTTGTGATTTGGGGAAATAAGACTCATGTTTGCCTGGAGAAAGCACTGCTGTGGAATATTAAATTGGAAGAGATCTTAGAACATCCTCCCTCTGGTGGGGAGGCTCTTCTGCGGATGGGGCTTAACTGCTCTCCGTGAAGGCAGCTCCATGATTCACAAGAGCCCCCCTCCCACAGGTTATAATTCCGTTCTTAGAATCGTAGACACACAACTTGTACCTGAAGGCACACGTCGCCTGTTTTATAAACCGAGGCCAGAAAGGCTGACTTTTCTGGGGTCTCATCACTTACATAGTCTGACCTAGTTACATGAGCATGGACTTCAAAGCCCGCAGACCTGGGTACAGATCCCAGCTCTAGGACCTCTGCGACCTTGAGCCTCTATCCCCTCATCTGTAGAGTGAGCAAAATAATTCTTCCTTTAGAGAGTCAGTTGGAAAGTTAAGTTAAATGTTAGTCACACTGCCTGACGCAGTTCCCAGCAGCGCAAGTGCCTAATAGACATTGTTCAACTTCCCTTCCTTTCTTCCTATCAAATCCCCACACCTTCAATCAGACCTCCTCCCAAGACGTCTTCACTGCTCCTGCACGTGGCGCTCCCCCCTTTCCTCGTGTGTTTTGGTGTCAGTGTATGTTTTGTTTCTACAAGAAATGGGTGCTACAAGTTCTACTGACAAACCAAAAACAGACTCATGGACAGAGAAAACAAACTATGGTTACCAAAGGGGAAAGGTCAGAGAGGGATGAATTAGGGGTTGAGGATTAAAAGGATTAAAACACTACTATATATAAAATAGATAAGCAGCCAGGACCTACTGTATAGCACAGGGAGCTATATTCAATTTCTTGCAATAACTTATAATGGAAAAGAATCTGAAAAGGAAAAATATACATATGTATGTGTGTGTGTGTGTATATATATATATATATATATATATATATATAGCTGAATCACTTTGCTGTACACCTGAAATTAACATTGTAAATCAACTATGCTTCAATTAAAATTTTTTTTAATTAAAAAAATTTGAAAATAAATGTGCATTAAATGACCAAATGATGGACGAGGTTGTGTATAGTCTAATTCCCTGCCTCAGCTCAGGGGTGGTGTGGCCCATGCCAACCTGACTGTCCCCAGTTCTCTTTCTCTGCAGAAGCCTTTTGGACCAACCGCATGGAAACCATCACCGTGGAGGAAGGCCAGACGCTCACTCTGAAGTGTGTCGCTGCTCACGCGGGGACCACCTCCCTTCAGTGGCTGGCCCCATCCGGGTTCACCATTTTTTTCAATGAGCATCCTGGTAAGTCAAGGAAAAGTCAATCACCGCCAGACCCCAACCTGAGGGATTTTCCAGTCAGACAGGTTGGGACAGAAAGGCGACATGAGTCACCCGCTATGGTGGGCTTGGCCCCACCTACTGTAACACATCAATCACACCCAGAAGCCTGCGATCTCACACACGGCTGCTTTTTTCTGACAGGAAATCTGAAATGGAAACCCCATCAGAATGGTGGGTAAAGGGGGTACAAATGAGAAAGCAGGTTTCCATCACCCACCTCACCCCCATGTCACTTTTTGACTCTCAGTGACCATGAAACCACCAACAGCGCAATGACTGTGGCGGACTGCCTGATGGGGGTCCCTTTGTCCTCAAGCAGCCAACCCCTCACCCCACATCTGGAGCCAGCTGCTTCAGTTCTCCATCTGAGCAGCCCCAAGTCACATCACAGACGCCTGCTCTTCTCCCGCTGGTCTCAACATCAGCTCAAGCATTAGGAATTGACAGGACATAGTACTTTGGAAAGGAGGGCAGTCCTTCCTGTCTTCACAGACACACAGTGAGTCCTAGATGCCTGAGATTGAAAGGGACTCTTATTTTTTCAGTTTTATTAAAATATAAGTGACATATAACATTGTATTAGTGTAATGTGCCCAACACGGTTTGATATGTGTGTATATTACAAAATGACACCACAATAAGTTTAGTTAATATCTGTCACTTCATGTAAAAAAAAAAATTTTTTTTCTGTGGAAAGGGATTTTTAAAAGTCTATTTAGTTCATGTCTTCAGGCAGGATTGTACAAAATCCTCCCCTTCATCCTGAGATCATTTTGTATCTCCACTTAACACTCCTAACTGCCAAATGCTTGGAAAAGTCTCCAACACAGCAAATTTCACTCTGCTTTGTAAAAGCAGAGCCTCTAAAAAATTTTTATGTGCTTTGAAACATCGTTAAAAATTGACAGGTTCAATGTTAAATAACTAAATACATGATTTCAAGCTAAATCAGCTATGAATACTAGGTTCCAATAGAATAAGTAGTTATTAATTGCTAAAAGTTCTGAGAGAAAACCTTTAGAGAGAATTCTGTTAAACAATGCTTTCCGTTGTTTGTTTTTGTTTTTGGTAAACTGGGAGAAGACAGGCATTCTCAAAGACAGAATGCCTGATCTAGCTGGATGGTTCTCAACCGAGGGTAATTCTTCTCCTCCAGGGGACAGCTAGCAATGTCTAGAGATAGCTTCTGTAATTATAAGTGGGTAAAGGCAAGGGAATCTGGCATCTAGAGAGTAGAGAGGCCAGGGATACTGCTAAACATCTTATAATGCACAGTGTAGCGCTCCCCCCCGCCACCGCCCCAACAAATAATTATGGATTCAAACGTCAGTCGTGCTGAGGTTGAGAACTCCTGAATTCTAGCTCATGTAACATCAGTGTCCCAGGACACACAGCCATTATTCCAGGTGAGAAACAACCTTCCCTGGTCAGCCATTGAAGGTTTAACTATTTTAAGCTTGTTCACATTATAAATCTTAACACTAAAAAAAAAAAAAAAGAAGAAGAAGAAACAAACAAAACCACTCACAGGAGCTTCTTATTTGCTAAAGGACCTTTGACCTGATCTGAAAATCTCAGGTCAGTAGAGAACCAAAAAGAACGCTTGCTATTGGCTAGAACTTTCTAGAGCTTTGGGGGGGGCATTCCCTAAACCTGGAAGGACTCAGTCATAATCTTTAGGGAAGTTCAAATAACAATGAACTTTTAAAACTCAAAAAGCACCCACCCAGCTAGAGTAATGAATATCAGTGCAATTTATCTTCCCCTCTTCATGTTCATTATAACAAGGCAATGAATCGGATTCAAAGAGGTAAGTCACAGTGGGGCATTTTTCATAATGCAAAAATACATACATTTAAAATCCTCCTGCAACCTGAACCCTTCACCAGCACAGGCATAGCATAAATATGCTTCCTACAAGCATAAAGAAAGCAAACTGCTTATTTCACAGATCCCAGCATCAAAATATTGCATTTCCAAGACTAACTTCCAGCTCTTGAGAGGCATCCAGCTGGAGACACTAGAATTTGGAAGGCAGCTCAGTCAAAGATGTGACATTTGTTCCTTTAAAGTGTGAAAATCAAAAGCTATTCTTGTGAATAATCAATCCACCGAGAGTCTGTATTCATCTGATACCTCGCCTCGTAACAGCTCTTTTTCCCTCTTGTACAGCTTTAAAAAATTCCAAATACCAGCTCCTTCACCACTCCGCCAATCAGCTCTCCATCAGCGTCCCTAATGTAACACTGCAAGACGAAGGCGTGTACAAGTGTTTGCATTACAGCAACTCCGTGAGAACAAAGGAAGTGAAAGTCATTGTGTTAGGTAGGTGACCGAAAGCCAGTAAACCCAGTATGGGAGCAATATATACTTAGGCTCATGTTTCAGCTTAACATTTTAGTTAAAAAAGGTTGCCTACAGCAAGGTGTTTCCTGGGCACCCCTGTCATCTTTTGTTGGAAGGAAACACAAAGGAGCATTTTGAGTGGCATGCCTTAGACCAAACCGGATTTGTGAAATTCATCTTTGGCATCAACTCAATTTTCTCTTTAGGGACCTGAAAGAAAAGAGAATTCATAATGGATGAGCTGTGACTATGTGCCAGGCGCTGTGCCAGGCTGCAGGGAATCAAGGATGAATTAGGCACAATCTCTGCCCACAAGGAGTTTGCACATTAACTTAGGAGGCAAAACATGTGCATCCATCAGGTCAAACCATATGACAGCACATCTTAAGATGGAACGAATTCGGACGTAACTGCACTGGACAGTCAGCTCACAACTTCTGTAAAACAAGCTCCTCTCTTCCGTTGTGGGTGGTGGGAGGTGACGGGTGTGGAAAGGAAGTAACAGCTCCTGATCATCTGGGACGTGCTCGGTTCTGCAGATGGTCAGTTGAGTTCAGTGTGAGTCTTACTATCTTTACTTTTTTTGCTTTTTTGTGGTAGATCAATTAAAAACATTGCCTTTTACTGATCTCTAAATAATCTCACATATCACACAAGTGAATTTCTTAGAACTCTCTTGTTGAATTAGTAGAGTGTGGTGCCTGCCATAAAGACGTAAGGACCAAGTCTCTAGGCAGGAGTGGCTCCCTAGGGGTTTTGAGAACCAATGTGACACAGCTTGAGGGTCATCTTCTCCCCAGGTTACTGGCCACCCCGACACCACTCTGGCTCAGGCTGACTGTGTGCCCTACTGGGCTCTCAGAGCACCCCATGCGTACCTCTGTCATCACACTTAACACGTGATCTTTTCATTAACAGCTTAGGGGCCGAGTCTATCACCAAACTACACTCCTTGAAGGGCCTTATCTGTTCCATATTTCTATTACCAGCATCTAACACATCTAGTGCACAGAGTATTTCCAGGACAGGAGTAGGAAGAAAAAGGACCAATGGGCCTTTCAAAAGAGAAGCGCATGTTTGATGTGAGGGAAGGACAGAAGTAACTCTCCTTGAGGTGAGTCCAGACTCATGAAAGTTTAGAGCTGGAACAGCCAGCTCATAAGCCAACTCCTTCATGTCACAGACAAGGAAACTGATAGACCAAGAAACTGCAGGACTTACCCAGGTTCTAACAATAGTTGGTCACAGAAATGGGACTAGAATTCAAGCCTCTGTTCCACACCTAGCATTCTGCCAGTCAAACAGAGTCATATATAAACTTTAAGAATTGCTATTGTAACATAGTCTGCTTGGGAATTTCCAGAGACTAATCGCAATACTGGGTAACAAACATTCTGATTACAGCCAGAGTGGCTTTACAAGTGCATAAAAGCCCTTTAACTATATTCTGAGAAAGGTCAAGTTAAAAAAAAATCCATTATTTAGACCAAATCCCTGCAGATTATTAGGCTCTGTGCTCTCCAAAGATATATAGACCCGCTAATTAAGCAGAGAAAAATCTATTTTCTTCCAGCAACTCCCACCATGCCAACCCTGGAAGCTTCAGTCATCAGAACGCAAAATGGAGAAGAACACGTTGTACTGAAATGCTCCACCGTGAGAAGTAAGCCCCCTCCACAGATAACTTGGCGTTTAGGGGCCAACGTGGAGCTCTACGGTAAGTGGTGATTCGGCTCTCTTTCCTCCTTTGTTTTCCTCCTTCTGATATTTCCAAGGGATTTTTAAGTGTTCTGGCACCCTCTGGTGGCAGCAGGTGCCAGAAAACACCATTCAATAATTCATCAGTTCTTTTCCAGACAAATTATCCTTACAACCATTAGATATTATGCCTTACTCTAGAAAGCCTCAACACAGCTAACATGGTTACATGTTTTTGTTTAAAACAAGGTAGAAACCTAAAATGGAATGCTCATTATGGCTTCATAAAATTTCATAAAATAAAAGGTGCAACATAACAATTACCCTTGAGCATAAACTTTTTAGCAGGTATAAAATTAAAATATGTATAGCACAGGGAAATATATTCAAGATCTTGTAGTAACTTACAGTGAAAAGAGAATATGAAAATGAACATATGTATG